CGCTTTTTGGACTCCCAGGAGACTAGGGAGAGGGAAGTGACGTCAGCGACACAGCAAACGCAGATTGGATGTTGACAGAAGAAAACGAAATCAACACCCAATCTGCGTTTGCTGTGTCGTTGACGTCACTTCCCTCTTCCAAGTCTCCTGGGAGTGCAAAAAGCGCAACATAGCCCTCCAGGAGACTAGGGAGAGGGAAGTGACGTCAACGACACAGCAAACGCAGATTGGGTGTTGATTTCGTTTTCTTGTGCCAACATCCAATCTGCATTTGCTGTGTCGTTGACGTCACTTCCCTCTTCCAAGTCTCCTGGGAGTGCAAAAAGCGCAACATAGCACCCCTGCGCACAGTCCTATTGTAACGCTGGTCTCAACCGTAGCTCCTAGCGTACAGTGGCCAACCTGACTGTCGTTTGTGATCTCCTGTTGACTTCTCCCCGAGAGCTATTGCGCTCTGTGGGAAGGACTGAACAGTCTTGAAATATGATTGCAAGTACCTATATTTACGGTTTGGAATTTTAGCGTTAAGGGAGGGAGGGAGGTGAAATCGACAAAAAAGCGATCCTTTGTTTTGCTGTTTAAATATACTACGGTGCCTAGAGAAACGGCCCTTCAAAGTAGCGCGCTGTAATAAGCGCTAGACGTTTTCAAGCTCACCACGGCGTTGCTCCATAGAGATAAGACCTGCCGCAAGTTGCGGCTTTGAACGTTGGCTTTGACTGTGTCCATGTTGATGCAAAAGCGATTTTTCTGCCCGTGAAGCATCGCTTCCAGCTGAGTGAATATAGAAAATAATTCAAGACGACAATTGCAGACGCACGCGAAAAGCACAAACGGAAAAACAAATACTACGATAGAAAAAACTGGCTACAACGTGCTGTGCGGGGAAGTAAACACAAGGCTTGCAACCACAGTGGAGCGGCTTGTTTCATAATTAGGGCATTAGTGTTTAAGTTGGTCGACGTTAGAGCGCACTCGAAAAACTGTCGCTCAAGCTTCCAAACACACGAAAACAGAACACTCACAAAACGTTCACTAACAACTCTGTATTGAGAGATTAACTTCTGCTTCTACTTCTACTTCAAATTAAGACGATTTTCAAATGAAAAAAAAAAGGAAGAAGAAGAAAATTGAATAAGAAATAATTTCTTTCTAAAGCCTAGACACACTTGCGGTTAGATAATCATTTTCTTTTTGTGACAATATTATAGACGGCCTACTAACACATTTGTCCTCCAGTCGTATAATATTCTCAGCTTCGATCATTTCCCTTCTTAGTTGGTTGACACTTTTGCCTAACACGGTGCTGTTGAAATGCGCCTAACAGCCACAATCCCGACAGTGAATTCCTAATAGACCGATCTCACCAAGCGTTGCACGCATGCGTGACGCCGCCATAACTGTAGTTCGTAGGAGGCAGACGCCAGTTCACGAGAGAGCTCAAGTCGCCTCGTGCTCTGCTCGCAGAGAGATACAGCAGGGTTGTCGCGAGTGCAGAAAGACTACAGCTTCCACGATGCGTGGCGGCAGCGGTGGCGTACTCAAACTAGCTGGTGAGATCGGTCTATTAACCAGAGATAGTGTTGACGATGCTGTTGGTACTTTCATGAAGGCGGTCATTAAGACACCGTTGAATTTGTCATACGCATTTTTTTTAACGGGAAAGGGCGAATGAATAGACAACCCTCTTAACGCAATGCACAAAGTTCGTTCAATTCTTCTTGATGCAGCAGGTTGCTCGATTCGAGAGTGTGGTCACGTTTCGCACAGGCTGGAAAATTCGTTCGGATCTGAAAACACTACATCAACACCCCTCTTCGCGGTTTTCTTAAGACCGTGAAAAAAATCGTGGATATACGAAACGATGACTGGTCTTCTTGTCCTGCCGCTGCTTGTTAGCTTGACACCACCTCATTACAACAAGAAAACAATTGAGTTGCGTGTACGTTTATACAGCCTAGAACGTAGTCTGTGTTCACGGGCGACGAGTCTCCCAGCTGTAGATGAGAAATTAAGCCAGTACAGTACAGCCGCTAGCCTGGGGTCTTTAACGTGCATCATGCAGTAGTAATACACGACCGCACGCCGGTACTATGCTCATCCAGATAGAACTTTACTTCTTTGAGGCGATTTTCAACCACTAACACCAGTAAGAACATAGGGTACCTTGCGGACTTCAGCTTTGCGATTAGCTTGTCGAAGCTCCCATGTATTCAACGTGAACATGATGTTATGATTGACCTCTTAAGGCATGACCGCACTATGTCTCTTGACTAGTTTTGAGCGCGCAGAGTTGAAGCGGAGGAGTGTTTGTTTTCCCTCTTCGTTCATAGGACCAGCAGACGTGATGGGGGTAGCTCCACCAGACGGAGATCCAAACATCTTAAGATTCCTCCAACAGGCAGCTCGTGCGTAATTTCTAAGGGACTCATACATTCTTGAGATCTGGAGAGGACGTCGTCCACCATGATTGGAAAGTGTTTTTCATCGATGGGTACGACTGCGAAGTTGCCGAAGATACCATTTCACTACCAAAATAGAGCTACAGGCAATAAATCAGACACTGCTTTTAAAGCATTTTTAACGCAATAGCGTTAAGGACCTCGTGTCGCAGAAAAGCCCATGTTAGTGGTGTTGCGAAAAAAATCCTGATTGTTCAATAGATTCATTACGTCACAGGCACATCACCTCGCACGGGAATTACAAGCAACCCACAACGCCCGCGTGAAACGTGACGTCACGCGTGCAATGAAAGTGATTAAAACTATGACATGTAGTGCGAATTAAAGGTCCCCGCATGTCTCAAATTAAAAGTAATTAATTTGCCTTAAAGAAAAATTTGATGGACTTTAGCTGGGATTCGAGCTCGCGACCCTTCGGTTGCGAGCCAGACAAGCTATTGACTAGGCCATGTCCGCTTTTTTTTATTTCTTTATTGCATACTAGGCCATGTCCGCCGCACTTCCAGTTCACTGGCAAAAAGAGCACGAGATGCGAATGAAAAGGCGATGCGAGCAGGGCCCGATAACACTATTGAGCTCCATACGAAGGAGAACTCCGCGGACGGATGTCGTGATGTCAGCAACCCGGGAAACTCTGTCCTCGGTTCTAGCATGTACACGGGTGGCGGGGAGCCTTGACAGATATCAGTGTTACCAGCCGAATTTAGCGGTTGCACTCTCGGAAACAACGCTCGGAGCACACTGAAGAGAGCGCGCGCGCCGTAGTTGAGAGTAGGAAAATAAAGGCGCAGACGAAGCGGACGTATGCCGTTATGGCAGCAGTGCTGCTAGAAACGAAGGACGAGGACATTCTACCTACTAAAATGAAGGTTCTGGGTGAAAGGCTGAATGGAGAAGAAAGAACTTGTCATAGCGAACCAGTGGTACGAAGAGATGCTAGAAAGCGACTCCGTGGTGTATCGAAGACTCCCTCAGGTACCCCGTGACGTTTTTGTTGAACTATCGGCCGGCCCGCACGGGTCTATCAGCGTCGTCATTCATCTTTGCCATTCTACCATTGCTCAACTACAGTAGTAATGGCACAAGCTACTCCGAAAGCGCGAAAAGTACACTGTGGCCCCCGCAGCCAGACGAGGAAAAAGAGTATCGCTAAAAGCAAATAAGTGCGAACTACTCCGCTGCCCATCTGCGGAGCTTTCGTGCCGACAGAAAGAAGCCTCCGCGCCTCTGCCACGGAGGAGGACGGCGCCGCGAGGCGTCAAAAAGGGATGGCATATGTCTCAGGTGATGCGCGAGCCGCGGAGGTAAGTGGCGGATTTCTCCTTCGTGTGGATACCCCATAAAGGGGCACTGACACCCAAACGGTTGTGGTTGTGTGTGTTGTCAAAAACTATACAAGTTCTAATCACAGACACGCAAAAAAAATGTGGAGCCCATTTATTTTACGTGAAGGTGGAGGACCAGCGAAGCTGTTATCTTTATGACAAGAGCTACTAGTTTCCGCTTGTCATCGGCGGCCCGATCTTCGTCGGTCATTTTCGCCCGGCGACGACGTTTACACACCCCGCTTCTGTTGCCGTTGACGCTCTAGACGGGCACGTTCTTCGTCGGTGAGTGGAGGATCAATCGAAGCCGATGGACCTACATCATCGGCCGCACTACGTTGGGCCCCTGAGCGTTCGGCTTCTCGACGTTTCGCACGAATTTGCGCTGTTGTGCGCGCCGACGATCCTTGTAGGCGCGCTCTTCCTCTTCAGAGCGAACAACACGCGGCCACCCATGGCGAGTCCAAAGGGCAAATGATAAAGTCGCCAGGAAATGGCTACCTCATGAGACAAAAGAACACAACCATTGGTTGGTAGCTATTTTAGGTTTTACATCGACGTTACAGAAAATTGTTATATTGATTGAACGCCGTTCTCCAAGTTTTTCTTCCTCAGCTCTTCTCTAAAAAAACGCAGAATTTACAAGCCTAGAAATGCTAGAAAATTCCGCTTCATCGTCATTCTATGAGTTCTAAATTTACACATACGCTGTTTTTCCTAATAACGAGCATGTGCATTGAGAAAACGGTCTATTCAAAGACTGCGGCAGCTACAAAGAAAATGCTAGAAACAGACATGCTAAACATTTATGCAGTATTCAAAAAGAGGGCACATTATTAGGTACAATTAATACTTTTCAACAAAGGTTCACGGTATTAAAAAAAAAAAAAGAAAACAACTGGAGACGACGCATGAAGAAGGGTACAAACACCAAACATTTCAAACGCAGGTACGCAGCTAGCTTAACTGTGTAACAGCTGTGTTACACATAACTGTTACACCGATATGTGTAACATCAACCCGCTCACCTCTTTATTTACTTTTTATTCAATGGTTCACGGATCACATTTCTAACAAACCGTTCTTTTCTCATACCTCAGAGCTTAGAACACCCTAATTTTTATTTCAGTCCGCTGAATATAAATATATCGTTGTCTGCTGGAGTTGCCTGTCTGTTATTTCGGGCTGCGCTGATTTCAAAAAGTCAATAGATATGTGGCTCTGGAAATCTCAGAGCGCCGTTTTGGCGGCACTGTTAATAGTACTTCTTGAACTGTCCGCCCGAATTGCTGGACAAGGTGAGTTGTTACTTTTATATGTATTTATTAACCTGACAAAATTGCAGAAAATAGATATTAAGTCATGTATGAAATTATCAAGATAATATTAAGGCTCTGCCAGAATTATACGAAGTGCGATCCAAGAACATATGAGGCTACATTTGCAACACAAAAGAAGAAAACAGCACGGTGATGCGCGGACGGCTGTCAAAGGCCTTTATGTCTCTTTATGCAAAAGGATTCGTGAACAACACAAAACATGATTTCTTCTTACCACGTGCAGGAGCATGGCGATCAGTCTGGACTACTAACCTGAGCGAGAGCGACCATCAGCTCTGCGTCAAAGTCGCAAAATCTCAAAGAAATACCTTTCAAATACCTTGGGATGCTTATGTCGAAGAAGCAGTGAGGCGTGCGAGGAGTTCTGAGCGGTACTTGGGCTTTAAGAATTACACAACACAAAGAGAGATGCGGGAAAGTCGCCCTACATATCTTTGTCTTCCAGTAATGTTTTTTTTTCCATTCTTGAATCGCGAGTGCCGCTCAAATCACCTCGCATGCCTCACTGCTCCTTTGCCATAAGCTTGATAAATAATTTAAAAGGTCTTTACTTGAAATTGGCCAAGTCTGAAGCAAAACTGATGTCTGCTTTCGCTTTGCTTTGCATTCCATGCTAAAATCCCTATAATTGTCGCGCACGTGCTTAGGAAAACACCTGTAGCGCAGCTCCAAATGGTCACAGAACGATGCTCTTTGGTATAACGAGTCATGAACATCACTGCGTTCGTCAGCTGCGTGCGCATCACAGTGGTGCCCTTGTTTAGGCTAGAAAACTAGTCGCGGGATTTTGGGATCGCACCTTGTATAACATCACGTGTTAAACAAAAGTTTCATACGCGCCACAGAAATATTAATAGTAAATTACTAATTGTCGAAATTTAGAAACAAAAACGCTATTGAGTGCATCTGCTCATAATAGTTTCAGGTGAAAACATGTAACTCTGTCACACAAACGCATGCCCACGCCGAAAAAAAAATTGTAGCACACGTTTAAAAAAGGTACTACTAAAAAAAAGAAAAACCTCTGAAACACTCAAATTACTTTTTTTGTAACATCACCTTTTCATATACCTACAGAAGTTTATTTTAGGCACGTTTAGGAAACACACGGTTTCATGTACTGCTGGCGAACGTTAGTCTGCTGAAGATATATAGGCTGGCCTAGGAGAACTATGCGTAAATACTGTAACTTCAAAGTCATATTTAAAAATAGTGACTTTTACTGACATCCAAGTTAGCCGCGCGCTCTATGTTGCACTTGTCGCACACACAGACATAATTTAAAAACTACATCTAATCGTCCTTTTTTTGTGAAAATATCCCCATTAAAATATCATTATTCATAAAGGAATGGACAACATCTGCTTGGATTTTCTTGTTTTTACACTAAAACTAGAAAAACACAAGTAAATGACGAAATAAAACCCTCAATTTGTCGTTTTCCACCACGTAAATTTTGATAGACCTACATACCACTTGACTACTATATTCAAGATGAGGTGTCGTGTTTTTTGGCTTTTGCACCAGCTTATCAAAACTAATATCTTACAAATAATAATGAGACTTAATCGGGTCAGGTACATGGATTCAAGTAAAATTAGCCCGTAGAGTAAATACAACATGAAATCGAAAATAAATAAGGGCTATTTATTTCTATTACAGGCCTACCGATGTTCGACGGGTCGTTCTATGCATCCGGGGAAATATTTAGAAGTAAATTCGAAGTAGCTACTGAAGAAGTAGTTTCTTCCGAAACAGATTTTTCAGAAGAAGATTATTCGGAACCAGATTCCTCGGAAGCAAAAGTGGAAATTAAATTGAAAGAAACCAACATCTTTGAGGAGGCATTCGATGCGGTTGAACGCAAGGCCGCCCTTCGCATTACCTTGGATAAGGAGGTTATCGTGTTCTTCGAAGATTTGAATACAGGACATAAATTTGTGATCCATACGTCTGGTGAGTGGCATCTTACTACCAAACGTTGGCGTAAATTAAGATATAAAAAAGTCATATTTTAGTTTTAACTTCGCTCGAGTATATGGATCGCTTTGCTTTGTTGTTAACATGCGCTGTTACTAATTACGTTACTTTTGCTGATTTTCCACAGAGACGCAACTAGGGCGTAGGCAGTGTAAATTTCAAAATTTCATAAAGAGCAAATTTTTGACAAATGTAATAAAACTAAAGCTGCGCGTCGATTAAAAATTGTAACCCGATTGATCGGCACCATTTAATCAATGCATAAATCGATTAATCGGTTTGGCTCATTTCCATGCAGTACATTTCAGAGGGTCAAAGTAAACCCCTCGACTTTTCTTATTTTTTTAACAATGCAATAAACGGAGGAATATGTATACTTTCCATTATGGTACAAATATGATATTTATCGTGAACAGTCCAAAGAAAATTACAACTTCTTTTTCCACTTGTGGAAGCAGATACGTTTGTTTATATCTTCCGGCAGGAACGAGCTCATTTGCTTGTTCAGGATAGTCGCTGCCGAGCTAACAGACAATCACTTGAAATTGAAGTGCCTATTTCAAATATAATCTTCTCGCCTTGCTGTTGGTTCCAAACCTCGACCCTACAGCTTTCATTAAATTCAAATTTAATCTAAAGTTTGCCCTTCAAACTGGCGTACTACACATATGTGAAGTGGCTGCTACTGAAGCAGGTAGAAGTGCTGCAGGATACGCCGCTCCTCTTCCCTCTCAATAAGTTTAAATTTCGCGTTATTCATGTGTTTTCGATCTAACCAACTACAGATGAGGACACGTTTTAAAGGGAGGTAAGGTGTGTGTATAATTATTTTCCCCTAATTCATCAGTAAAAAAAAAAAAGAATTATAAAAAAGTAGACGTTTGCATTTTCATGTAACGCCAAATTAGAGCGCATCTCTTGAGGAGGAGGAAGAAAAGATACGAAGAGGAGGATATGCCCCTCTTCCTTCCCCGCTAAATTTAGCGGGAATATTGGCATTGTTAGATGCGTGTGACGTTACGTGGCGTCACATGTGACGTGATTATGAAAAGCGCCCCACAATGCAACGCGCGGTTACGCCGACGGCGACGGCGTCGCGGCTCAAGCCGGAAACGGTCGCCTAGGAACTGCGCTCTAAAAGACATATATTGTGCTTCTTATATTTTCGGACTAGTCCGCGTCGTTGCTGCGAGCTGATTCGACTGTTTTGAGCTCCACAGTTAAAGGGAAACTCCGCTCAATTCCGAAAAATTGCGGATAATTAGTGATTTCACATTAAAACGCACTAATAAAAAGGCACTGCGTCTTTAGCTTCGCGAAAAATGGGACAGACGTTGTTAGATCTTACTGTAGGCGTGAGCAGAAATCGAAACCAAAACTTTGTTTCCGTTGGGCAATGTGGTCCTCGCGTCGCCATGAACATGGATACCACATGGTACGATATGTCACGTGATCATCAATTCAATGAAGGCCGCCGGGGCGGGCCACCGTTGGGGCGGGCGTGTGCCACGCGCAAGTGTCGTCTGCACCGCAGTCTTCACCACATTTTGGTGTCCACGATATATATACGACGACGTCTGCACAACTGTTGGATCCGTCTGCGCAAGTAGTGTGAACTAAACTCCAAGAGCCAATAATCACAAAAGGTGAGACGACGACGGCGGTTTTGACGCAGGAGACGGCGGTAACGGCGTTTCCTGCGTCTTTCAAGAAGCGCCTTGCGCAGGTGCGTTGCGCCAATCACGGGGACAGCGCTGAGGGCCGAGAGGAAGCGTTCCTGATGTCATCCGCTACGCTCGCCCGGAAAAGTAAAAACAAGCAAAAAGGTGCATTGTTGATAACGTCTAGCTCAATGATCAGGCAGCGAAAAACACCGACAGCCTATGTCAGCTCAATGGGGTCATTAACTTCGTTTCCCCTCTTCATCCCCCCCCCCCCCCTCGCCCTCCGCCTTCCCAACGAATCTGGCTTATCTCCGCAGGTTACTGTTCTCGTAAATTTCTAGACGATTCGTTTGATGCCCTCCGGGAACTTCTTCCCTGTGTCTGGAGGCGACTCCATGGTACTTAACGAAAACGTATCCGTTTAATCTTCTGGGTGACTGTCGTGATGACACGTGAACTCGAACTCTCAAATAACGATTTCTTGTGTGTTTCGAAAAGGCCCCCGACGACTAATCTGCATCTCTGGAAGTCCAAGGTGGCATATTGTCGCCAGAACTTAGGAAGATAGCCATCACGACGGCATTAAATTGCACTTGTCAATGCCCCTCTCACTTTCGATGTGAAGATGCCTGAGCTTTCTTTCTTTCCCTCAGGGGTTTTAAAGAAAATTTCATTCTATAAACTATTTTGAGATGCTTGTCTATCGAAATAATATAAGACAATAAGAAATAATATTACTAAGACATGGTGCCACTTTACGCTGTCTTATTAAAGGGATCATGAAATGATTTTACAATCGAATTTCATCCACCGCACGTCGTAAAAGGTGTGAAAAGAAACACAAAAACACAAAAATAGGGAGCCAAAAAAAAATTATTTGCTATAGAACTTTTAAAAGAAAACTGGACTCTTTTGCGCCTTCTTTCCTTCGCCTTTTCACTACGATGCATCCGCGGAAACGGAGCACGTCAGCCGAATCCACGTCGCCTATTGGGTAAGAGCCTACCTCACCAGCACCGCGATCGTAAAAAATAAATAGCCGGCGAATGTTTCCTAAAAGCTTTGTTAAATAATATTCAGATCCACAATTTGTAGCATAATTAGAGATGTGTGGCGAAAATTACCAAATTTGATAAGGCTGAGAGCCAAGCGCCTTCTATCGTGTGGTAAACGAAGCAACTACTGCGCGTGCGCTTTAGGGCAGGGCCGACGAACGTCTATTACCTTCGATTTCCTTCCTCTCAAAACTCTGACTGACTGAATGTTTATTTTTCTACGTGTTCTTCTCGCGCGTGCCGACTTCAAGCAGCAAGAAAAAAAGTACTTAAAACAGACCACGACGAACAAGAACGCTGGATCAACAAACACCCGAGAAAAGCGACAGAGGCCACGAAACCACCGTCTCCGACGAAGCGAGCTGCTCAGAATATAGGCCTAGCAGGCACTCCGACTCGGCGCAGCGTTGCTTCGTCGCAAGACCGCCTGCCTACGACCGGCTGGCGTGCTGAATGGAATATGCCCGCGCTACCTTTGTGGACCCTTCCCGTAGTGTAGTTTGATCGGAGCTCAATTTTAGATTAAGACGTGAGGTCAATCTCTTCCCCTTGTTTTCCGAGGCAGTCTTGACGAACACTCGTCGAAAAGGGACTCTCGTCGATTCTATCTTCTTATTTTGTGTGATATAGAGCTGAAATAAACGCCGTATGGATTAAATTCGTAACACGGTATGTACACTTTGTTATTGGTATGCCATTTTTATTCTGACAGACTGCACGTCACTGTCTAGCTATAACAGTTCGTGGGAGGTATACGTGCAATGCCGGTCCAACCTTTCTTTGCCGAGTGTCGCGTCAGTATCGAGTTGCAATCGTAAAAGATCGGTCCCGAAGCGCTTACCAAAAGCGCGAATACAGCACTTCCATCAAACGCACGCGTCCGCTCCGAGTGTGAACAGGTATTTACGTGGCTCTTGCTGACACTCGTAGTTCAAACGTATCCTTTTTAACGTTGGCTCGCTCCTGCATCTCCGAGGCCGCGAAAAACGCCGCGGCAATTTGTTTCCATCTACGTCGCTTTGCAAACGACGGGCCGCCTTTTACCAACAATGACAGTTGGGTTGACTTCTGGAGTCTAACCGGAAGACTCGCTGCACTTCCCAACAGGCATACCGGCGTATGGGACTAGTCCCATGCTGTCGCTGTAGCGCAACATATCTCATTGAATTTCGCTCAGCTGCGATGCGGCGATGAGAGGCGCCGATTCAGAAAATACGTCGGTGACATCAGCGCAATAAAACCTACCGGCGCACCTTAACTCGTCGCCGCTAACGCTCCCATTCTCCTACTGCCGAGAAAACTTCCGGTTCCAGAAACAGCGTACGTCACGGCTTGTTTTGCGGTCAGTTGGAGAGAAAGAAAAAGTCGATATTTCATTATTTTTTGTGTAAAAGCTAATAAACCGAGACGAAAACGGATGCCTGTTCGGCATTCAGTGAACATTGACGGTTTAATGTAAAAGTTATCTGGAAAAAGTAAAAAGGTCATTGCATGGTCCCTTTAAGTGTTCAAAAAGAAGGGATCTCCTGCGTTTTTGGGAGAGGAAAAGCCTACTTTTGGGGTAGACGGCAAGTAGTCCCTCATTCCAGCAATACAGTCTTCTGGCTTCTTGAAACTTGAAACAATCTTAAGATGATGGCTAACATCCTACCTGAGAGGAGAATTCCAAAACTTTGAAATACTTCAGGCAATGTGTATGGTGCATATTCGAACGCCTGTTCATTCTTCGTCGAAATCAAGAAGCCACTGCCCAAATTCCCAGATAACGTCTGCGCGCGCGCCTGTGTGTGCATATTTTTGTGATACATACAGATAGATTCATTTGGGTGAAAATAAATCTGTATACGACAATCGCTAGGGGCTTTCGAGCCTCTACTGAAAGGGTTGGTGTATCATGAGTATGGTGAGTGTTCTTGTGGGGACAGAATTCTTATCACTGCCAAAGCTCACTGGTTCAGCAAACAACACTTATAGTGTTCCTCATTTTTTCGTTAAAAACGCAATCTGAGGGAGGGGGGGCGATTGTTCTTTTTGCCGTCCCCTTTTGGGCCGAAACTGATTTTGAGTATAGTAGTTGGGATAAGCACAAGTCTGATTCCGCACCATCAAGGTTGCCTGTCTAAGCAGCCTATTAATGTGAGCTGGTTATGGGCATGCGTTCTAAACAGCGCCCTCAAATATGGCGTCCAGTGAACACGTGCTATGTTCGCGACTCCAGCGAGCTATAGGAGGCGCCACTATCGGGCAAATATGGCGT